GCGCAGCTCATCGAGTTCCTTGGGAGACATCCGATAGATGGGGCCCTTGGGAATCCTGCTATCGGGTTCTATATTTATTCGGTGATTGGTCTCCTTTTCAACTACTCCACTTGGGGCCTCTCCCACGTCAGCAAACTCATCTAGCAAGTTTTGCACATTGGGTGGTATTGGCACTTCTTCCTTTTTGCCTTCACTAAATGGTCTCACATAGGCAACAAACACTTGCTCAGCTAGGTCATTCTTGACTGTGTGCCTGGCGAACGCAAGGGCACTCATACAGCAAAAGGACAAACTACTCTTTACACCGGATGCAGAAAACAAACACAATTTCTTTTTCCCAACTGTGGGACTGGGCACAAGTCTGTGCCTAATATCATAAGTCGGCCTATGCAGCGTTGCTCCAGTCTGTGCCTAATATCATGTCAAAAGGAAGGTTGTCCTCCACTAAGAGTGTTAGGGAGTGCAGAACTTTCTCCACCTTTCCCCCTGCCTCTAACCGGAAGTATGCCTTGACCCCTTCAACATACTCACATGCTACCATTTCTCTATTATCGGCCAACTTACTAATGACCAGCTCCTCTGACTTCCTCACCTTCATTCCTAGGTGCATTTTCTGCAACCCCCTTCGACAAATTTAATCGCGCGTTGGCCCACTGTACACTAACGCGCCTATCCTTTCTCTGCTGACTTCTATGTCTGATATTATTAGTTGTCCCTTTGATTTCTTCTTCATTTCGGCCCAAGCACGGCGACAAGTGATCAGCTCATCACCAATACTTGTGAGGGAACCACATAAAGAGGCCCCAACACAAGCAACCTCTAGACAACTAGCTAGACATCAATCTCTGCCGGTGGGACCTTCGGACCAGAAGGTGCCTGTTCAGCGCCCGCTTCTGTCTTCCTGTCGATGTCCGAAGTCCCCGTAGAGGCAACTGCAACCTCTACTGGCTGTTTCCTTTTGGGTACCTATATTCGGGACAGAAGGGAATGATATGGCCAGGGTCACCACACTTAAAGCATTGGTTGGCGTGACGTCGTGCTTCCCATACTTTGTCATCTATACCCATTTGTTCCCAAGGTTTGCCATCAACTATCCCTAGGTGTGTTGGATACGATCGCCAACTCCTACCTCTACCTCTACCCCCTATAAAGGGAGAACCTTTACCACCTTGCAAGGGACCATTACCCTTACCTCCCACGTAGTAGCTTCCTTTAGCACTACCCCTTTGGGCAGCGGGTCCTTGACCTCCACCTCTACCTCGGCCTCGTCCTTGTCGACCTCCTCCACGGGCTGCTACTGCCACATAGTTCCCTTCCCGATCTACTTGGTTGTTGTTACCTTCTTCTGGACCGTACTCTATGTGATCATATTATAGCTGCAACTGTCGCATAGTCCCCTGCCCGGGCTGCTTGGGCGTTGTTACCTTCTTCTAGACCGTAGTCTATCTAATCATATGATAGTGTTTTAACACTTCCTTCCTCGAAGGTGACTAACAAATTATCCTTTTCATCTATACTACCAAAAATAGTCATTTTCTTCCATCTTTTACCGGCTTGCAGGTCTTTCCAATAGTGGCAATAGTTTGCCTCTTGCAGGAAACCAGCATGGTCTACAACTATCTTCCTGAATTTTCCATATGTCATCCCCTCTTCCTTAGTACGGGGATACAATTGGGTCTTAAGGGGTTCAGGCAATGCTCTGGTGAAGTTATTCAATATTTGGGCGGGGGTTAGTCCGTATTCAGGACATTGCAGCAGCTCGTCCATCGTGGCCTCGAATGGTGAAGCACTCTTCCACATGCGGTCACTTATGTTAAGGATGAGGTGGTCGGTACAACAAGCTAAGTTCTTGTCCTCAAGCGATCCTTCAAGGCCTTGAAGAAATCCTCTTTCCTAGTTCGTTGTGAGTATTGCACCATCGAGGTGCAACCTACCTCGTTTACTAACGAAATTGCAAAGCTAGCTGCGTCTCTGCCTAGGAATGAAATTGTCATTAATACGCGGTCTCAGAGCGGACTCAATTGTGTGTACAGGTAGGTGTCCATCACTGGCTCCTAGTGGAATATACTCCCCTCCCTCTTTCCGATGTACGTCTAAGGGACCCTAACGTTCATCTTCTCTCTGTTCTCTCCTCCCTCAAACTTATCTGCTTCACCTTTCTTTCCATCATCTTTTATGGGACCCTTTCCTTTCTTGTCACTGTCACCATCATCTCCACCATCACCTCCACCACTGCCACCTCCTAGTGCTACAAACCCGATGGTGTTGGTCAGTTTCTAGGTGAAGAGTCCATCTAACTGATGGGCGTAATCAAGGATCCTCTTATCAACCATGTGAGAAGAGGCACTAAGTAAATTTTTTCATGTGCCTTGGAATTCCTCTTGATGTCGCTAAAGTTTCCCAACAGATTTCTGCATCGCAGAGAGCTTTTGGGCTATTTCTTTACCATTTTTCTCTTTCAACAAGGTCTGGAGTCTTTCCCCTTCTTCCCTCAATCTTTTCTTTTCATCATATTCTTTATTTTTTTGATAAAGCAATCGTTGATCAAGGGTGCTCCTCCTTTTGTGCAGTAATAAAACCCTCTCCTCATCAGTAGCAACAAATGTCATTTCAATTTTAAACGCATTTTTTTCTTGCTCCGTTTGTTCCGGCATCTCTGTACAGAACCCGAATTTTGCCACCCAATCTATATCCTCCACCCACTGAAGCCTTATCTCTCTTGCATGGCTGCTCTCTGACACCTCCTCCTCTTCTTTTCTAGTTTTTCTCCTCTCCAATCCTCCTCCTTCCTCTTCTTATTCCAATTCCTTTTTTAACTTTTCCTCTTCATCTCCTTCTCAACTTTCTCCTTCTCCTCCTCCATCTTCTTTCTTTCATGCTCCAATTTTCTTTCACTTCCTCCTCCTTCCACTTTTTCTTTCACTTCCTCTCCAAGCGCTTGCCGCTTATGCCCATGCTCCCTACTTACGAATGAATCATCCAGTTGCCAAGCTTCTAGCCTAGACTCGACTTATTTCATACACATGTCTGACCAGATGCCGACTCAAGACAAAATCAAATATGTCACCAAGTACTTCGTTCCAGCAGCAGCGACACCAAGATGTGGGAAGGTACTCAAGACACGTAACCATTCATAAAAGCAAATGCAAGGCTTGTGGGGGCGATCCATTTCACTGGTGAACATTCCTCTGTTGACGCTCCACAAGGTCACTCCACGCATGAGGGTACGTTCTCAATATTCCCCACTATCGACCACTTCTTCTTCGGCCTCCAACCTCAATGTTAAACTCCACATCTCATCTCGCCAGCCTCAATCTTGCCAGTGCTCCTAAACAACGGATGCAGCAAGTACCAGCTCTGATACTTGTTGCAATGGACCACTTATTACATCATTCCATGTACATGTTCAATGAAAAGTCCAGATTAGCGCAGCTCAGAAATTCCAACGAATTGTCATGTTAAACAGTTTCAGAGTTCCAGTCACCAAGCGCTCATCAGCGCAGAGTTCAACAACCGAAATCCAACATCCTCATCCAGGCAGGTGACTCTCCCTCTTTGTCTCACTCTCTCTCTCTCTCTCTCTCTCTCTCTCTCTCTCTCTCTCTCTCTCTCTCTCTCTCTCTCTCTCTCTCTCTCTCTCTCTCTCTCTCNTCTCTCTCTCTCTCTCTCTCTCTCTCTCTCTCTCTCTCTCTCTCTCTCTCTCTCTCTCTCTCTCTCTCCATGAAGATCTTGACTCTGGATACATCCGCTTGCTACTCGGCCCTACTCCTACTTCAACACTGAGCGGCTATGGCCACCTTCCTTCCACAACGTAGCGCTGCCCAGCCAGGTCTCTAGCGCTGGTCAACTCGCAAATAGCGCACAAGCGCTCCGCAACACTTCCACACTTCTCGTGAATGAGCCATCTCCCAAATGTGGCGGGCCAGTCCCTATATCGACTCCGACTTGGCCTTGACTCGTCCCAGCCTCTGCTTCTATTGGCTTGACTTGGACCCGGTACCAGCTGCCCGCAGCCTGTTTGCTTTTTGGAATGTCGAAGCCCGGTAACTTCCAAAGTTTCCCTTGGTGTGCTAGTGCTTTTTGGACTATGGGACACGACTTTTGAATGTGGGACGTGACCTTTGACTGTGTGACGTGACTTTTGGCTGTGGGATGTGCCTTCTGCCCGGTAGTGGTTGGACTAGACCTCAGGGGTACCCGACTTGATCTTTTTTAGTCTGACCGACTTGGCCTTTTTTTACCGGAGGATTTTTTGCCCTGAAATCCGAATTTAGGGTTAAATGCCTTTCAAATGCTCTTGTCGTCGGTATTCCGCACTAGTGTATTGTAGGAATGGAAAAAAAAAAAAAATGTTACTACTACTTCAAAAGGGGAAAAAAAGCAGACTCGAAGGCCATCACACACAGGCGTGGTGAGTCCTTATCCATCAGTCGGTCAAATGCATCCTTGGCAACCTGTTGGGGTTGTCGTCATCGCCGATAGAAAGAGTGATGAGTCGGTGAAATTCCCACAAAACCTGGCACAATCATTTCTTTGCATGGAGTTGTGCATCGAACATGACAACACAAACACACAGAAAGACGGGATTATGGTTACCCGTAAGGGTTGGATATGGTGGAAGGAAAGAGTGTTAAAAACTTAAGGCGGGAGTACTACTTGTAAGAGTTGAGTGGAGGGAAAATGTGGAATGCTACAATGTCTGATAGAACAGTGACGCAAACTTGGAGATGGAGTGGTGTGGCTTGAGCCAGCCGTCTTGATATTGCTCGATCACGTGACCTCATGACCTCAAGAGAAGGGACAAAAGGATGGTAAGATTAATAAAAAACAATTGAGCAGATTTAAGACGATCGGGTTATAAAAAAAAAGGAGAGAGGGCTCGAACCCTGAACCGAGGATTTGCACTTCTGGCGTAGGTAACAGGCCAAAAAGTTGGGCAAAATTTTGGACTCGGCCGTTACGTGACAAAGGTCGAAAATGACCCTGACGAAATTTTCAGGCCGAATACGTTAGTGGTTTGACGAGAGACAGCCCAAGGAACCAGTTAATTACTCGCATGCGGTAAGAAGTGGATACTCAAGTACGGACTAGGCCCAAGGTACCGTGGTACATGGAACAGCGAATCGACCCAAGTACTAGCTCAAGGAAACCTGACGTTTAGGCAGTGCCTAAGAGTATTAATAGAATAGTTAGTAGGGAATAAACATCTCAAATCAACCCCCTGATGAGGCCGTTAATTGGCAACGCCTGAAACAAGTCGCGGTATGCCAATCACTTCGCTCTTCCGTTCTACACTCTGTTCTGGCGGCGAGGAGAGGAGTGGTGCCATACATTGCTATGGCTATGGGAGCTTCACTAATTGTAACTGGTTGTTGAGAGCCGATTCGAGATTCTTCTTCTTGCATATCGGTGTCGTCGCTATCACGGTTATGCGTGTTGTGTGGACTTTGCTGTTTGTTTGCAGTTTCTCGCTGAGTACCGACAGTGGCAACCGGCCAGGACGCCTCTCACCTGAGCTATGGTGGCCCTGTAGACTAGTTTTTTACGGAAGGTGTTTGAAGTGACGTACAAGACGAAGGTGACGACTATACATCAAGGTCAGCACTAGGCTCAATGGCAAACGGCGGGGGACAAAACGGAAACAGGAATGGCGGAGGTCGAAACGGGAATGGAGGTGGAGGGAACCAAAACGCTGGTAATGGAAACGGCGACGAAGGGAATGGTGGAAATTGGAATGGTAGAGGGTGAGGTGGCAACGGGAATAACGGAGGGGGCAGCTGAAACAATGGCGGTAGCAATGGTGGTAACTGGAATAATGGCGGCGATCATTGGAATGGTAATGGTGGTAGTAATGGAGTGTGGAACCACAACGGCAGTAGTAGCGAAGGAGGTAGCAGTGATTGGAGGAGGTCAGTCCGGTGCTATAATTGCAACCGATTTGACCACATCGGTCGAGAATGCAATGCACCACGCCAGAACGAAGGGGGTGGAAACGGGAATAACCATGGACCTCGAGGAGGAGGTAGTACCTGGAGGCTGGAACAATAACGAAGGTAATTGGGGTGGTGGCAATAACTAGAATGGAAACGGAGGGAATTGGGAAAATGGTGGAAGTTGGATCGGAAGAAACTGGGGTACTGACGAAAACTGGAATGGGAACGGAGGAAACGGGGGAGGTGGCCGACAACAGAACGAGGGAGCTAGCAGCTCGAATGCGTTAGCTGAACCAGCAGTCGCGATTGGGATGAGTAAGGATTTGGAGGAATCACTGAAGGCATGTATACGAAGAAACAGATGGAAAAAGAGAACGACGTGAAGCAGAGATAAAAGAAGCGGAAGAGCAAAAGAAGCGGATGGAGGCGGAGAGAGTAGGTGGAAAAGAGAAATATCAAATGGACTTAGAGAAGAGACAAGCAAAAGAGAAGGAGGCAGACAGGGAGTGGAAACTGAAGATGTTACTGGCGAATCAGAAGGAGACACTAAGGGAGGAAGGTGAAAAGATGGTAGACAAGAGACTCTGCAAAGGCAGTGGTATCTAAAAAAGTGGTAAAGGGGAAAGCCCTCGTGATGTTATCAAGTTCGAACGACGAGGAGGAGGACCCACACGAGGAGAAGCTTGAGAAAGAGGAAGAGGCAGCCTGCACCGGTGAACCAGGCGAGCCCACCAGGCGAATCCCCCATGAAGATGGGAAGAGCATCAGCCTCTTTACCTCCTCTGACACCCTCAATTGGAGGAATCTCCTTGTCTAAGAGCACCATAAAGAGGAAACGGCGGACAGCTTGGATATCCGTATCAGGAATCAAGCTTATGGGGAAGGTGCCCCAACAACGGATGATTATACAACCACCAATGCTTTCAGGAAGGCCATTCGAAAGTTTTTAGGGAAGGAGTTGAAGCCTACCATTCAAGAGATGTGTCGAGAGGCGGGGCTTGTCTACAAAGGAAGACCGGATGTTGTTAATCAGCTAATTGAGCTACGCATTATGTACTTCGGTGCAGAAGTACCTCGCGTAGAGCCACCTCGGGTACCTCAAGGCGGTGGTATTATGATTAAAGAGGCCCTACAAGAGGAGCCTCGAGAAGATGCACGCGAACCACCAGTCCCTGAGGCCGATCCAAGGAGTAGTGGCAAATGAGATAGCCACCATGTGGAGTGAGCTTGGTAAGTATTTGGAACTACGCTGGATGTTTATGGCTGATCCCGGAGAAGGGACCCGGCCACTACGTAGAATCCTCGAGAATGTGTTGGAGTATTTATTGATTCTGCTGGTTTTTTCGAGGGAATCTGCAGTGGTGTACTAAATTTCTAGGGAATTGGTTAGATTTGGTAGAGAATAACCTGGTCGTCCGGGAGAAGGGTTGTGTATATGTCTTGATTGATCCTAAGGTCATAGTTGTGTATATTCGACAAACAAGCCGTAGCTTGCTGGCGCAGTGGGAAGAACATGTTTATAAAGCCTGAAATAAGGGCAACGCATGTAGCTTTAAGTTGTATAGTTGGCTCAGAAATCATGGGTATACTAACTATGTCGCGCTCCCTATTGCCTTCATCCTGAGTAAGGATCTTGAAAGAGTTGAGAGAGCATATATTCAAAGATGATCACCAAAGTTGAATTCAAAAGGGCGAGGGAAACACCCCAAGCAAGGGAAACAAAGAAATTGAAAAGGTAGAAAAGAGAGAAAAAGTGGCAGATCCAATACTGCAAAGTTGGAACGACCCGTGATTTTTGAAACTGAGGATTACCGATCGGTCGAACTGGTTGATACATTTAGGAAAGCATGGGGAGGAGGGAAGAAGTTTAAATATGAGGGAGGAAGAACCTGGATACAAAAGTGGAGTTCGACCGTAAAGGAGGTAGGCTTGGCGACAATTAGAATAGATAGTGAAGTTAAAACGATTCGGGATGCGAAGGCAAATTTGGAACTGGGCGGCGTGTTCAAGATTGTATACCTGCGAGAGAAGGCATTGTCCAAACATAAAAAGAAATGAAGTGAGAGTTGTATCAGATCATCTAAAACCCATGGTCAAAGAAAAAATTGTACAGATATGACCTGGATAAATTGATGCATTTGGTTGGGGCGGTCAAGCTTTTTTCGCAAAAAGGTATGAGAAAGTCATTGAAGGACATCCTAGCGGGGGGTGGGTTGGCAAAAAAAAATATTTAATATTCCAAGGAAATTTTGTACCAGTATTACCTACCATACGAGCCTGTCCTTACGAAAGGTTAGAAACATTCGGGTTGGGTTACCAAAAACGTTGGCTGAGTTCATGTGTCGGAGACTCCTGATGGTATGGAAAAGGAATAAGAACGTTGGAGAACTCCATAGCCACCGATTTGCATCCCGACAGATGGTGGATGTTTGCAATTGTGCAGGCAACCCCCTTCCACGAAGGGAGGGTCATGTGCACTGTCGGCTTAGTGAGTTGAACGAAGTCGATCACTTCACTAAAAATGCTCGAAATGTTGTGTATGGGCAGCTCGGTGAAGAAAGACAAGGCGATGAGAGAAGTGAACGATATCCTAAGTGGGATGGGTTTGAAATCGATGATTGGGTTGCATGAAATAGGTGATATGTGTGGAAGGATTGTGACTTGCAAGGATCACCATGCGAACGAAAGAAACAAAGGAGTTGTATGAAGGGATGGTGTGTAGTGTCGTAGATAGGAACACAACTGTTACGGTGGTCATGTGCGGAGCTGTTTATGCAAAGGGGATGAACGACACGTTATGGGGTAATGATAGCTTTATGGCGGTATAGGAGGAGTCAAAACTCCTAACAAGGTGTGAACGTGAGTACAAGACACAAGGACTGGAGGAGCTTGGGAGGTGGGATAAACAAGGAAAATATGGTAATGCCTATATCTTACCTAAGCACAAGGATATTGGGAGATTCGGACCAATTAGCTCGTCTTTCACCGAGCCATCGAAGACGGCGGGAGGAACAGTGGCGCGAGCTCTGAACTATCTTCAATTTCTACTTCCAAAGTCTATGCATTTCAACATGAGATCTACGAACCTGTTGAAAGACCAGGTAGACGACGTTAACAAGTGGGTTAGTAGAAAGGGAGAGGGAGAGTTAGTGGGAGCGGCTTTTGACATCAAAGAGATGTTCAGCCAGCTCCCTCATGGGCCGATAATGACCTCGGTAAACCGGCTCCTGGATTGGTATCAACAAAAAGGTCGCACGACGGTAAGTATCAAAAGGAGGGGGAAAAGTGCTGCTTTCGCAAAAAAAATTGGGAACGATTTTTTGATGAAGGTGAGTTTTGAAATGATTTGGAAAATGATAACGTTTGAATCGGACAACCCATAAGAACCCTCCAACCCATCTCTGGTGTCAGTGTTGGGTAAACTTATTCAGCAGCAGGTTCGGATCCCAATGGGGAAAAGCAGCAGCCCACCTCTGGCATGTACCCTGTGTGTTATGAATAAGTGTAATTCCCTCATGAGCCTCGGTAGTGACAGGAGCCTTGTCAAAGGGTTAACACTAATAGAGGACGTTCCGGTTCTTGTCTGGTGTCCGATGAAAAACGGAAGTAGACAGCTGGAGAGAATCATGGAAAGGTTCAAAAAGACTTAATTCGAGTGCCGTTGAAGTGAGCTGACCAAGGAAAAGGCACATGGGATTTTTGTGCGACGCTAATGGAAATTTAGAGTAATAAACTTTCCTGCCAGAGCTTTCCAAAAAGTTTTGAGCATGTATGGGGGGAGGACGACGTGCTTTCTTATCGGACTTTTCACGATTTTGATTCCTTATCCGCGCAGAGGCAAAAAAAGGTCGTGATCACGTGTACGCTACACCAAATTAAAAAAATAACATTGACTGATGAACTCGTGGGGCTGAGTTTGCTAACAGTGAAAAAACAACTTCGACTACAAAGCTACCCAGCATGGATGTTGAATGACTGCTTTAGTAGATTTGTCCGGAGGCACGCCCTGACATGGGGTAAATAGAACAATAGGCTTAGTAGTTGGTAGTTTCTTCGGAGTAATAAGGCGGGATTATGGTTACCAGTAAGGGTTGGATATGGTGGAATGAAAAAGTGCTAATAAGGCGAGAGTATGACTACCTGGAATGTTACATTGTCTGATCGAACAATGACGCAAACTTGGGGATAGAAAGGTGTTGCTTGAGCCAGCCATCTTGATACTACTCGATCACGTTGTCAAGCGCATCGGCTCCCGCCTTTTTCGCAAAAGGCAAGAGTCCTCCCGTCCATGTCACGCAGGAGTCAAACAAAACAAAAACAACTTGGGGACGGAAAGGCCGTATCTTCGTTGATCTTCATCTTCCATGAACAGCTGACATAGACGCCGCTTGCTCTCCCGCTTTCGTCCCGAAATACAGGGAATTGCTGGCTCAGGCCCGCGCGAACATGCAAAAGACTCAAGTCTGCATGCAGCAGCAAGCCAACAGGCGTTATGTGCCATGTCCCATCCGCGCCAATGATCTGGTTTAGGTCTCCGCGGAAGAGTTTGCACTCAATCAGGATGTTTCACGCAAACTACTCCCCAAGTGGTTTGGACCATGGCCCGTAACATCAACCGCGGGCGATGAGCCTGCTGGCCCCTCATTTGTGATCAACATCCCCTCGCATCTGACGGTTCATCCAGTCTTTCACACCTCGAAGCTCACGACATACACACCAGCTAGGACTGACGACTTCCCGGGCCGACGATCACAAGACCCTCCGTCTATGGATGGTCATTAGAAGTCGACCATGTCATCACGGATCGCAAGTACAGCAACAAGCCTCGACAGTACAAAGTTACCTTCAAAGCATGCGATCCTGACAACACTCGATGGATTTCACAAGCAGATTTGCAAGCATCCGCACCGCTGATCTACGCGCACTACGAACGACAAAGACTAGCTAAGGAAGCTTCACGATCTGCCCCTCCCACYCGGACTTTGGTCCCTCCCTCCGACAGGCAGCTTCGCCCTCGCAGGTAAGCTCGGTCTTTCATGGAGGGCAGGGGGGGGGGGTGGCATACTGCGCATACACACGGGCCTGCAGGGCCCGACCAGACGAAAAATAAGGGCCCTCCAGGCCTTGTGTCGTTTCAGCCTGAAAGCCTAAAAACGAGGGCCAATTTTAGGCCCTCATAAAGTCGACCTGCCCTGAAATGCGAGACCAGGGTTTAGCGCAGGCCATTTTTAGGCCCGTTTCAAGACAACCTTTGTTTGAACTTCAACACCAGGGTCTGGCACGATTCGGCATTGGCAAGAGCAGCCTCCCAGCCGGACCAGCAGTATATAGTGCTGGTCTGCCAGGCACTTCCTTCACGGGTACTTCACGTGCAGGAGGCAGGAGGCAGTCTTCAGGATTCGGCAGCAG